GGCGGAGGGGGGGCCGGCGGGTCCCACGGCTGGGAGCCGCCTCCAGCTGCAGCGGGGCAGGCTGAGGCTGGATGTCGGGCACCGCTCTCACGAGGAGGGCGGGAAAGCACGTGGCCAGGTCCCCCAGAGACTGCGGGAGGCTCGGTCCTCGGAGGGTTTGCTGACCCGGGTGCTTTGGGTGGGATGATCTAGTTGGGGACTGTCCTTCTCGGAGCCCTCCAAAAGCCCTTGCAGCCCTCACTGTCTATGTTGCAAAACCCCCGCCCTCCACCGAGATGCCCCTTCTGCACTGCAGGCAAACAGAGGGCCTTAAAACCTGTCCCCTTTCTAACAAACATCTCCCCTTTCTTTTGCAGTCCAAAAGTGTCACATCAAAAATAAAACAAAGTAAATAAAGCCACAGGTAAGGAGTCATTTAAGGCTCAGCCAAGTGACAGCTTAATCTGCAGGCCATTAGGCATCCCTGGGAATTTCTTTCCCTTAAAACTTTTCTAGCTGGTCATTTGTCTGCCGAGCTTTGGCTGGATGTGTATGTTTGGTTCTGCGCGGAGCAGCCAAGAACGTTTCTGGCCCTTGTTTAAAGCATTAACCCTCTAATGACAATGTTTTGGGAAAGAGAAGGAAAAGTAGATCTATGTATAGATCCCGCTTGGCATTTCTTTGATACAGGCAGACAAGGTTCTTTGGGGGAATCTGATATCTTTTATTAGGCCAACTTACATAGTTGGAAATTTTTTTCTTAGCAAGCTTTTGGGTTTAGACACCCTTTGTCAGGCTGAGGAAGCCTCTGCGGTTGGTGTGTCGGTTAGTAAAGAGCCAGAGGCTGGTATGCATGCAAGCTACACCCCTGATTTTCTTGATACGGCATTTGCTAGCATCGCTTTATCCCTGGCACAGGTCTGTGAATGACAGCGATGGTGGGAGCGTGAGTGTAGACTAAAAGTAGTACCTGCAGTTCTATCTCCGTGCCATTTACGCCTGTTTTGAACAAGTCTGGATAACCTGGTGGTAAAACCATTGGCAGCTCTATATGTCCTATCAACAGGGGAGCTAGTGCTAGGGAAGAAGTGTAAACCTCTAAGGGAAGAAGATCAATGGGAGTGTGCATGAAAGTAAAGATAACTCACATTAGTAAGTTTGCAGGCGGTATTTGGTAGTTTCTGAAAAAAGCCTTCTGCTAGCTCCCCTTGTGTTTGAAAATAGGTGTCAGACATAGCTCCACTAACAAATGCTGTAGCTAACTTGATAAGTATGGTTTTCAAATATGTTTGCAGTTAGTGCAGTGTGCTCTCTAATTAGAATGGGACTTTACAGCATATTACATTCTGTGAGCTTGTGTACTTTCTGAAGCCATTTGTTTTATTTTGTTGCAACAATTGCTTAGATGGAGGTCAAAGGTTAAGAGACTGGATTTTGTTCTTAAGTACAACAGTTTCAGGAATAGACTGAGGTTATTTCAGTTTCATACTGAAGTCCTCTGAGCATTTAAAAATGTTTTTTACTAAATGTGCATGGCTGACGTGTCACTTGTAATGAGTTAAGTTTCACTTGTTAAAGAAGGGCAAATGTGTATTTCTGTCTTTCATAGTGACTGGCTTTGCTGTCACTGATTCAGCTCTGCATTTGATAGCTGCCTCCTACTTTGTGCTTACTGTAATGCCTAACACTAGGGCTACTGCACTGTTGCTAATAAAGACAGAGAGCTGTTAGGGATTCTTGGTACCCTGGGAATGGTAAATATTCTTGAACCCTTCCGCAATGATGTGCACTGATGCAACTTCACTCTTGGTTGCAGTTGCTGCAGTACTAGTGACCCTCTTTTGGTGTAGCACCTAGAACAGTGGGGTCTGGTCCATGAATAAAGTTCCTGGGCACGACAATAAATCAGGTAATAAAAAATAAAATATTTATTATTTTTCACTCGAGAATCAATCAGGATCTACATCACATAGTCTCACAGAATGCTTTAGAGGGCTTCTGTTAGCTCTTTATCCTTCTTCTCCATCATTGGCAGGTTGAGATATGCCAGTGAGTGAATGAGTGAGTAATAATCAGCCTGGGTACCACAGTGTTTTAGGAACTCTGTTCTTGTTGAATGACTGTCTGGACCTAAAGAAGGAGTAATATGTTAGGGCACAATCATTTTAGAATTCTGCCTCCATGCTGAAGAGCTGAGGACTAAAGGAAGCATAGTTACTATTTTTGGGGTACATACAGATGTTCATGCAGGTTAGATGGAGATTAGATCACATTAAAATACCCCCCAATCCTCCCAACCCCCTTGCAGACCTCACTTGCCCCCCCCAAAGCCCTCTTCTGAGCCTGCTTGCCCCCAGATCCCTCAAGTTCTCACTAGTTCCCCTATCCTGAGGTGGCCATTTTAATGTGATCTTTCTTCCCACTAACCTCCCCAAATGTCTGTACAGCTGAATAAAACATTGGCCACTAGTAAGATACTTACCTTCTGAGTAAGGCAGGGGATCTGAGGCTGGGAAACTCCAGAAAATATGAATAGAAAATGTGTATTTTTAGCCTGGGTTTCTTGCATTGGAACTTATATTTTGAGTTTCCTAAATTGAAACTCCTAAAGTTTAACTTTTTTTTCTGTTGGATTGCTATCTGGATTCCTTTTCACCAAGGCACCTTAACAGTACCATTGCATGATCCTTGATCTGTGTTCAGATGACCATACAAGGGGCCTAATTCCAATTTTGAATATGTCTTACCTCCTCCTATATTAAGGAAAAGACTCTCTTGTGCCTGTGTTAGCCCTATATCCTGACTGTACAGTATCCCTGACACAGATGCAGCAGGAGCCTGCAACTGCTGACCTGTCAGTGGACTGTGATATTGAATAACCCAATAATGCATTTAGTGGCTGTCCTGTCTCTCTGCCTTCTCGGTCTGAGTCCATAATTCCACCCAAGATAACTCATTTGGCCATCAGGCTAGAGATAATGTCACAGGAGGCAGTGTCTTCTC